CGCTTTTAATATAATAAATGTAGTTTCTATGTATTTTAAACATACACACAACAGAAGGAAGGTTAGGAAATCTAACTTTTTTTTTTCCATTTGTTTTCTGCCAATCTGTTAACAATTTCATTAGAATCTATTCCTTTAAATGTATTGTGTGATGTAGCCGTTCCTCAATAGACACTAATGCCGGCTAGCTTTAAAAGGATTTATTAACAGAGCACACAGGAACGGTTACAAACAAAAGAAATATGCATAAAAATGAAACTTATACCAAATGGAGCATCAAACATTTGAATAACGTAACATAGTAAACTATCATCATGGCGGCTGGAGGTCGACTGACGTTTTTTTCATATCGCCACGAAATGGCATTTAAATAAAATAGTTCGGTTACAGTTCATGAGTTCATGGCGTTGAATAAAATAGTTCAGTTACACTTAAATAGGTCTGTTACATCTGTATTTTACGCATAAATAGGTAAAACGAAACGTATTATACGCACGATACTCACGGCACTTATTATACGTACAAATAGAATACTTAAATTACTTAATTTGGATTATTTTAAATATAAAATAATATAATTAATTCATTTCAAAGTAGAAAAAGGATCTTTCGTATATTGCAGTCTGTGCAAGTAATCGCATAACTATACGATTATATTGAGAAGGTATACTTCATTTGTGACTCGATTATAGTTTTTAGAAAACATTCGACGTTTAATAACATCTCATCGTTTAATAAATTTATGTGCTTAAAATACAAGCATACTTAAACTAATCCTTTTCATTACGATATTCATTAAGAAAGATAAGTTTACGAAAGTTAATTTCCTTTCATATGGGTTCCACTTTACTCGATCTCCATATTTTTTGGAAGATTTTCATCATGATGACCTTAAATTTTCTCTCTTTCCTAGTACTGTATTTTAATGGATGAAACATTTCAGTATGATATTTTCTGAAGCAGAAATACATCGGTATAAAAAGATGGCAGAAAGGAAAATTGTATAATTTATCAGGAAATATATATATTTTTTAATTTAATAAAAAAAACAAGCCGTCATTAAGCAAAAATGAAATCATTATTAAAAATTTATTTTGTTGGCTATAAATTAAAATTACTCATTCTTTGCTTATTTTCAACAACGACATTTCAAATTAAATGGAGATTTTTATTCCAAAATTGGAAACAAAATTCAATATACTCGAATCTTAAGAGCTGTTTTGTATCAGTGTGACCACTCTGAGCCAAAACTCTTTTTGTCCGAGATATAGGCAGGGCCCAAAAAAGCAGTTTCTAGAGGGATTAGGTATTTATGTATGTAAGAAACAAGAAAAAACTGAAATGCTCTCGCCGGGATTCGAACTCCGGGCTGCTAGCTGGACGTGCTACTACCAATTACACCACGAAGACACACGGCAAGGAAAAAGAACATTCCTCACACCTTAACTGCAATAGGAATGTCCATCGAAGGGAGAGTAAGACTGATCAGACATGGCTTCGAGAGGTGTATCGCCTGAAGAGCAATGCACGTTTGTTAGTATATTCGCAGTTCTTTATCGTGCGTCTAATGCGTAATTTGGTTATTTTTGTCCTACTTTACACAATTTTAATTTCTTCATTTAACTGTTTAAATTTTGGGCTTTAATTCAATCATTTTGTTTGTAAAGCTTCTTATGTTTATTAACTCATTAGCCTATAATTTTTACCTTTACTGCCACTTCTTCTTTAGTTGGCTATAACCAGGATAAAAATTATTTAACGTATAAAAGAATAGAGTTCTTGAAGTTCAGCTTTTTGGCCAAGTCCGCTGACCATCTCCTTATTGCTTAAATTTACCTGAATAGGCTTTAGCCTTTTGGTAGCCGTATTTGCTTGTAAGATTAGAGGGCCTGGCCCAAAGTTTACAGTAGGACTTTGCGTGTGAATTACATACTTTGAATTATTTAGTTTCAATAATTACTTAAACACTTAAATTACACAAGCAGCTTTTACTTTGTTCTTTACTTACCCTGTAAGTTGTTAAATTGAAGTTATAACAAAAAGATTTATTTTAAACCTTTTCCTGAGTACGCAGTTATTTCTCGGAAGACTGAAACGAGGATAAGTCTCCTAACTGTCTACGCGGAGCTAGCATTTAGCTTTAAAATGCACATGTTCGATATAAGTCTGTAGTTTATTATACACTGGTGTGCAAAAATTAAGGAGGAGACGGTTTTTTCAACGTAACTTTGTACAAAAGCTTTCCAAATCAACACATTTAATACCGTAAGATCCCCAATACGTAAGGACATGAGTAATGTAAGCAACACTTACTAAAAGAGAAATCAGAGGGATAAAAAGAAGCTTTATGGAAAAAGTAGCATGGAGCGCAATGCGACTGAAGGCCGAAACATCCCTGTGATGGGTGTCCAACAAGAAACATCCGGTCTTTAATAGGGTTATGATCTCCCCTGACTGCTAGGCAGGTTTCACAGCGTCTGCCCATGCTGAAATTGAGGGTGTCAATGAGTTGTTGAGGTATTGCTGCCCATTCGTCTTGCAGCGCCAATCGAAGCTCCGGAATCGTTACTGGTGGTAAGGTACGAGCTTGCCAAGCGTCTGCCTAGAAAATCCCATACATGCTCGATGGGATTGAGATCCGGAGATCGTGCCGGCCAATCCATACGTTCAATATCCTCAATCTCTAAGAGCTGTTCGGCAGCTGCTGTGCGATGACATGGTGCATTGTCGTCCATGAAAAGGAACTGCGGACCCACAGCGCCTCTAAAAAGACGCACATATGGGAAGAAAAACTCGTTACAATAACGGGTCCCGTTGACTGAACCTGCGTCGAAGATGTGAAGGTCTGTACGACTACCAAGCATGATGCCTCCCCAAACGAGAACACCGCCCCTCCATACCTGTCCCTTTCAATGATGTTCGAGGAATGATTGCGGCTTCCCCGCTCTCTCCAGATGAGTATGCGATGAGAATCGCTACTCAGACTGAATCTGCTCTCATCTGTAAAGAGTACTCGTCCCGATTCATTGTCTCTCCAATTCCGGTGTTCCCGGCACCACAGACAACGCCTTCTCCGATGGGCAGGCGTTAGAGGTACACAGCGTACAGGGCGTCGTGCAAACAGACCACCACCGTGCAGTCTTCTGGCCACTGCAAAACGCGATATCGGTCGTCCAGTCGCCTGTGTCGTGTGTCTAGCGATTTCTCCCGCTGTCTGCCGCCTGTTTCTTGTGGCCTGTAAGGCAATATACCGGTCATATGCGGGTGTGGTTCCTCGTGGACGACCACTACTAAACCCCCGGATAGCTGTTGCTGTAGTTTGAAATTGTCTCCAAAGTCGTGAAACGATGCTGTGAGCAATTCCGAACTCTGCAGCCACACTTGTTACACTGCGGGCTTCCTCCAACTTCTCAATGATTCGACCTCGGGTAAAAGCATCCAGATGTTGTCTAACAGATTGATTATTCGCCATTTCTCGCTGAGGCAGCAACTCGGTGTGATTTTAACTGCTATACGGCGTGCAATCTCTTTGCCAGAAATACTGATCTTACACCGACAACATGCTTTATACTACTCAGACACTCCCCCATTACGTCTACCTGCATATATGCGCATGTGCTACCGTACATCACCTTACTTAATCTCCTGATTGCTCTTTCTCCGCTCTGCTTCTTCGTTCAGCTGATATGCTAATTTTTCGACTTCGTCCTTAATTTTTGCACACCAGTGTAGTGTAAATTTTATTATAATGACGTTTCACGTATCAGGCAGCTATCCTTCGCATCGCTTGTCACTGACGTTCTTCAATATCTCGTTACCCTTAAGCTATGCGTTTCCAACAATCAATGGTTAAAAAAATGTTATGAACATATATGTTCACATTTAGCTACAGAATAAACTGTTGAAGTCTTATAACTTTATACTGATATACTTTACATGTTAAGTTATAAGTTTGTAACATATTTTGCCTTATTAGCGTGTTTTCTTGGTGTTATTGGAAGCACATCCGGCTAGCGGTCGAGAGGTAAGGCGTTTAAGTCCTGGCAAGAGCACTGCACACTCCCCATGCTTTCTGCTTGAACAAATCTAATGGCTCTACATTGGCGTCCGAACTAAAATATGGTGGACTACAATTTACCATCACCAGGATTTGGCAATTAGGTCCCCGCCTCCCCACTTGCCCTTTAAAAGGGGAAGAATGTGTATTCTCTTCCTTCCTGAAGTGTTATGAATATACAGTTTTCAGTTCGTAATTTATCAGTGCATTTCAGTTTTTGTAATCGTCAATAATTCGGTAATGCAATGCAAGTTGATACTCTGAGTCTGTTTAGCAATGTTTCAATGAAGCAGCCAGGTTTTTAAGCTAATTTAGATGTGATCAAAGTCTAGAGGTAAAGACTGATTTCAGATATATTTCTAGTTTGTGCCCTGATCGGCATATATGTTAGAGTTCCTGGCTGCCGTATCGTTTGGTCCAGGTTCGACTTTCAGAGAAAGGATTCAATGTTTGTGAGCATATATGATATATATGATATGGGAGGGGCACTTAATTTACAGGGCGAGAATAGAGTCTTTTCGAATGATTTAGTGGTAAGGAAAGAGGGGTGGGGAAACTTAGACCCGATCCCGACGGATCCTCCTTCCAAACTGGGACAGAATGGCAAAATTTTACTGTTAGCTATAAGGTATCAATGGCAGACGCAGTCCAATACTCCTACTCACGTTAATATTTGTGGATTTATTCTGATGTTACTGTTAGACATGTGAGATAAGTGAAAACAACAATAAAGTGAAACAGTTTGATTTAAAAATAAAAATTAAATATGGGTAGGTTGATTTCATTATTTGTTTGAAAATAAGAAAGTGACAATTCTCTTTTAAGTGACAGTAGTTTTGCATTTATTTAGAATGTATATAATAAAGGACAATTACCCTTACTTTTATAAATCTGGTATTATGAAATAAATTTGCAATAATTTTTCCTATTTTTATTTCTTTAGGTTCCTAAATATAATGCATTGTCACACAAAAGGACTTGACATCTCCATCTGGTGTTATATCTTCATAATATTCTCATCATTTTATTCGTCTCAGAGCAATTCAACTGTAGAAGAGATCTGCATTGCCCTTCAGCCGCAGACTGCCCGAGTCATCAATAATTTTGCTCAAAATCTGATTAGCTTAATAGGTGGCAATGGCAATCTTATTTTCTCTCCTTTCAGCATCTCGATTGGCTTGGGTATGTTATATTTAGGAGCTCGAGGTAACACGGCAGAGCAAATAAAAAACTCAATGCATTACAGTTTATTACAGAGTAATAATACTGTAGAAGGAGTGCATGAGCATTTCCGTTCACTGCTAGTTACTCTTAGTGAGACCAATGGAGAATACGAGCTATTTTCAGCTGCCAGATTATTTTCGCAATTGGGATACGCATTTCGAGAAGAGTATCTACAAAAGCTTAAAGCATATTACGATGCAGAACAACAAATTGTAGATTTCGCGCAAAACGGCAGAGAAGCAATAAGAAAAATAAATGAATGGGTTAACACAAAAACTAATGAGAAAATACCTGAATTATTTCAGAATCCATTAGATCCATTTACAGTTATGGTTCTACTGAATGCTGTTTATTTCAAAGGCTTGTGGGAAATCCCATTCCATCCATCAATGACACAAAATAACGTATTCCATGGAGTGAATGGAGATAAAGAGATACCATTTATGGAATTTCGAGAAAGAGTGCATTACTTTTTTGATTCCGATACAAATTACCATTTCCTAGAATTGAAATACCAAGGAAATCACATAAGTATGATATTTGCACTTCCTGAATCAATAAACAGTGCCCCTGATTTAGAACTTAATACTAATATGTTATGCAAAATTAGAGCTGGCTTTCGTAAACAGCTAATTAATGTGATCATCCCGAAGTTCAAGCTGAGTTACGACAGAACACTAAATGATGACTTTAAATCAATGGGTATGAGTGAGATATTCGAAGACACAGCCAACTTCACTGGTATGAGAAATGAGGTGGGTATGTACATATCTCTGATCAAGCACAAAGCTGTTATAGAGTTGAACGAGATAGGTAGTGAGGCTTCGGCTGCCAGCGCTTTTGTGGGTTCTGTTAGAACAATGTTTCACGGCCCATACTTTACTGCAGATCATCCATTTTTGTTCTTCATTTTAGATAAACGTACGGGATGCATTCTTTTCTTAGGTCGATTCGTGGATCCTTGATTTGCAGGTTTATTTTTGCTGTGCTCATTAATAAATAATAATGGAAAGTAATATAAAGTATCATTAAATATATAGGCAAACTATTTGAAAATAAATTGAACATTAAAAATTTAAATGTTCCAGCAATTTTGGAACCATACTCCAGTAATTCAGGCATTCGAGGTTTGTATACATAAAATTATTTTGCGTAATTTTAAATAAAAATCGCCCGATGATATTAATAAACTTTTGCATTAAATTATTACGGTTAAAATCAATTTATTATAATATTATTCATTAAGGTCAAATCATTAAATTATTATTAGCTTTTTAATTGGCAAAATGGGGAAATTATCAGGCCAAACAAAACTGCATGCTTTTATGATTCTCGTGTTCCAAAAATTAATTCACATGCATATAAAAGCTGATGTTTGAAAAATAAAAGCGGCTATGATATCTCAGTGAGAATTTCGAATCTAATAATACAGCTGTCACAGCTTAAACCGAATGGAAGAAAAGCAAATATCGCATGTGGCTGTATGCTTGTGGGTTCTATTATGGCAGTATTTCATGGCACATACAGACAGTATTTCTTAGTAGGCATAAATAAATGCCTACTAAGGAAAAAAATAATTATCTTTCTCTGGAGTATCTGAGAGAGTTATCTTCTTTTGAGAGTGAAACATTTATATGCAATTTTGCGAGTGATACTGTAGATGAGATAGCCTGCTGCTGATGAAGTCGAAAAGCTGGTCGATATTAGGAAACACGTTCTAATATCAAATTCACTATTATTTATTAAAATTCAGCTGAAAAAGTAGAGTTGTCTCTATATCAGAAGGCAGTGATCTACAGCAAGTTTGCTAGTCATATTATATTCAGTCTTCATTGAAGGAATTACCGAAGATGCACGAATTTAAAAAAGACAGACTGCTTCAAATAACAAAAGTGAAAATGAAAATAATTGCAATTTGACATCCAAATAAAAATTGACGAAAGCCTTTTATTATCGATGTTAACTATTATCTTTCCTCTTTTATGAAATTATTATATTTATTAACAAATCTGTTTTAAAACATACTGATCAGCAAAAGCAGACGGCAGTGCTATATATGCAGGATATTGCTGAATGAATTCAATAACGTTAGACGTAAGTTTACGAGGAATAATAATTTTAATGTTAACTTCAGTAAAACATTTCAATGACTATGTAAATTTACATTTTTGATACATTTTACATGTGTATTCGAAACTGGTGGAGACTGCTTTTGAGTTTAACACTCGATGGTTTCGCCGTATAATACTGATAAATATTCGTATAATATTGATAAATATAATCACCGTTAATATTCATAAATATTATAAGGCGAAATTTCGTGAATAGACGTGAAGCGAATGATCGCTATGTCTGAAAGTAACTACAAAGACTTGGAAAGGTTTAACCAACCTTCTTATTAAACAGACTTTAGAATATAAACGCACTTTCTTGAATTAACAAAATAAACCCCGGATCGTCACAACTAAAAGAACAGTTAAATTCAAGTTGGGATGTTAAACAGTCGTCAAAAACTACACAATTTCAGTCAAAATCAGTTTATCTACAGCGAATAGCGCAAAGCCCAAACTTTACAACTGTGAAAGCTGGCTGGAACAAAACGTAACATGCATGCTCTGTCTTAAAATATAAAAAGTATCTTCAATTTATATGCTAGCTAACTCATTTACATTCCGGCGAGGAAGCGGAAAGTAGAAGTTACAATAAAGGGTGAAATTATGGTGTGTGGTGTATTTAATTATGGCAAAGCACACGAGGGCTATCTGCCTAAGGGGAGGGATGCCTTCGTGGAGGACTTTCTAAGGGAAACTGGCTCGTATACACGTTACACATGGGGAAAACCACGAAAACGCCCATGCAGCCAGCCCGTTCGCGGGACTCGAACCTCAGACCGAACTACCAGTGTTCAGCGACTTTACCGCTCGGCCGCTGGTGGGCGGTGAAATTATGAATAACTGGTTAATTTAAATAATAATAATAATAATAATAATAATAATAAACTACACGTTCAGTGTAACATCTCTTTGTTGCTCTGTTAATTGTATAGCTCCTTATAAAATTGGGAAAAATGCTTAAATTTAAATAAAAGAATAATTTTCAAGACATTTGTTTCTCTTCTCTTGCATATTTATATTTCTTATTTTCTTGAGTAAGTTTTCACTTATCATATTCCTATTTTTGTTATATATTGCATTAGACTTCGTTTTGTTCAACAGTGTACTTTTCCTTTTAAGTAGCAGAACATTTAAGTCTTTTACGTCAAGGCTACTTTAATAGCATTGTAGTTGTTGACACTACAACAATGAATAATTGCCTAAGTACTTATTTAGAGAAGCAAACTCGATAAGCGTGCGATGCTACTGTACCTTTTAAACCAAATGCCGAATAACAGCTCAGTACGTGACGATGGTATGCTATGAATATGTATGAAATACTGTGCCTCATAAAAATTGATTTCAAGAATAAAAGTTCTGAAAAGTTTTTTGTGCATTCTCTTACATTTCAATAATTTTACTTCATGTTAGTTCTGATTTTGTATTTTAAGTAATGAAAATTTCTTCTCTGAGAAATTCATGATTTTATATATATAAAGGAAAAAAATCTGGAAGTTTTCAATTTCGACTGAAAGATATTGGCTATGAATTTTAAAAAAGACTGAAATATTTTATTATTAAATTTCGTTTTCTTATTAAGATAAGATATTATTATGAAATAATTGTTTCTCAAAAAAAAAAAAAAAAAAAAAAGTAAGACTTATTTTTGATATCCGATTTTCCGTTATTGTAAAGAATGTTATCTGTGTGCAACTCAAAGTGTAATGTGCCAAAAAATAATGAGAAAATCTGTACACCAAAGTCAAATACTCTTGTTTTAGGAAGTTAGCAATTGTTTTGAAAGCAATGTTTTGAACAACACGGGAAAGCATAAATACTTATCACACCGAAGACTAAATTTGAAACAGGAAGCTTCCCAGTGGTTCAAATTCGTAGAGATGCAAAGTTATTGCATAAGGAAGAAATAAAATTCTACTTACTCATATTCAAAGATTCCTAGCTGAGGTAATGAAGCCAGGAGTAAAGCAGCTGTTTTGCATACTAGTATTTAATAAGTGTTTATAGCATCTGTTGATGTGAAGGAAGCCTAATTGTGTGCAGGTTAACCAAATCTTAACTCAAAAAATGCTTACTTCTTCAAATGTTGTAACTTTGTTTGGATTCATATATGTTGCTGGGTTAAAGCCCTCTAGTAATACATTAAGTACAAGTCACATTTCTGAAAAATGATGTTCACTAGCCTGTATGTCATATCTCTGCATTTTACTCCAATTACAATGCTTGTACCAAATGATTTTTTTTTTCTAACATTGTTACAATTACTATCGAATTTTAAGGTTGTTTCAATAAAAATATTACGTTGAGAAATATTTTCTACAGATTATAAATGAATACAAAATCGTCCATGTTACGGATAAGACTATCATCTAGAACAATGTGTAAATTTTTAGACATCGTTTAAATGCTAAAGTATGTTTTGTTTCAATTTATCTGTAACTTCTTTCAGCGAGAAAAATGCACTATTTTCGTAACGATTTTTAATGTTTTGTCAGTTCTTTTAGTACTTTATTTTGCTGTATGTATAATTTTTAAGCAAAAAAGAAAAAAAATTCCAATCGAAACATTTTGTACTGCACTTCTCTTATATTTATTGTACTGCAATAAAATGTATAATATCTATATTCACTGTGAAACTATATTTAAAATTATTAATCTGGCGTATTAATGTTACGTTATTTAGATACATTATTTCATGATTATAACCAATTTTCAAATTCTTAGAAGCATTTCAAATTCCTTAAGAGGCAGTAAATATTTTTATAACTTTTACTGAATAAATGTCTTTATTGCATATGGCATCGTACGTGTAATTGGTTTCCTGTAAAATTTACGTATTAGATTTTCTCATGTGTAGTTAACTAAAATTCCTCTAATTTGAAGAATTTACTATTAGCGATATTTCTTTACCAATTAATATATATGCTTTAATAAAGATGAATAAATGTGTTTTAGCATATGAAAGGTTTTTTGATTAGTAATATTTAAGATGAGTTAAATTTTTTACGAATTATAATGCAATTTTTAATATCATTATTTTTTATGCCATAAGCTTATAAGGTATTTCTCCCGCTTTCTTAGCATGCCTTCGTAGTGTAGTGGTCAGTACTCTCGACGCGTATTCGAGAGGTCCCTGGTTCGAGTCCCGGCGAGGTCATTGCTCATTTTTCACATCTCCTGCTTCCAAAGAATCCTAACGACTCTACAAGCTTTCCTCTCGCTGTTATGCGAAATGCTGTCATCCAGATCCGAATTCCGGACCTCCCGGTTGCAAGCCGGATGTACTTTCAATTATGCAACAAAGCATGAGATAAGGAAGAAAAGCAATTCCGTGGTAAAATTTGCATTCCCGTCAGAGGTGATCACGCAGTACGCTAAAAAAAGATTTGTCTCAAAACATGGGAGATAATTTTTTCATATGTTTTAAATTTACATGAATTTAAATTTAATAGATTAAATTCAATGTTTTGAGATTAATAAACTGGCAGTCATAGTAATTTATGTTAAATAATGCTTTTGCACTTATTGCTTTCTATAATTTTTCAGTAAGCAACAAATAAGTTTAATTTTTGTCAATATCCTTTAATTATGAAGAGCAGTGTATATGCATCACTACGTTATTAAATTTTTGTAAGATAAACGAAATAAGTTCGCACGGAGATATGAAATCAAAAGATGAACAAAACTAAAATGGAAAGTCGGAAAGAATCATTGAAGTAGAAGTAAGCAATCTCTCTGTTGGCACTTATAGTTTCTTCAGAAAATTTGCCTTTTTCGCCATCAGTATTCAATATTAAACCATTTCACAACCCAGTGAGGCTGCTTGCTAAAAACTGCTTATCAGACTTC